CTGAATAGATATTAATTAGATTTAATCTTTTGATTAGTTCTCTAATAGTTGCAGCATATTATTTTATACTTTCATCAGATAATTATTTTTTTTATTTTAATTATTATTATTATTTATAGAATTAGTTATGATTTCTAAAGTATTTTTCAAATTAATATATGAATAAAGCTTCTTTTATATTTTGATTAACTTCATTATTATATCTTCAAATTTCTAATCATTTTGAATCATGTAACTTTTTATTAGTAAACTATATAATAATAGAATCTTTCAGATAAGCTTTTACTATCTGAATTTTTTTTTATTACTAATACTATTAGTAATACAAGCATTTTTAAAATCTTGAAATCAACTAATTAAATCTTGAGTATCACTAAAGATGACTCCTCAACTAGTTGTGACTTGCAGCAGCTAATCAGAGAATTACAATAAAGTTACAGTAGCTAATCAGAGAATTATGACAGAGTTGTGGCTAGTTGCAGCTCCTATCATTAAGTATTATCATAAAATTTTATAATTTTGATATAGTTAGCTTTCTTTGATTTTTCTAGAATTATAGTAAGTACTCCAATTCTATTTATTAAGTTTTCAAATCTATAATCAGCAGTAAGGAAGATGATATTTCATTCTTCTTATCTTTATTTATTTCTTCTTTTTTTCAAGTAATATTAATAAAATAAATATTAAAATAACAGATATATCTTGAATAATTAATTATATTTCTAAATATTTATTAAATGGTAACTATATCAATATTTATTCAAGAGTATCTGGATTATATTTTTCAAATTATTATAAGATATCTAGTAATTTTTTTTTGATTTTAACTAATTTAGATTAGATACTTCTACAAGTAAATTTTATTACTTTCTTATTTATTCTATTAAATATTTGCTTCTTTTATTCTTGAATTCAAGTATTTCTTATTATAATTAATAAAGATAAGTTTGTACTTATTCTATTGATAGATCAGTTTTATTTTTAATTAAGATTGCAAAATCTTTTCTTGCTTGATTTGGACTTTATTATATATTACTTTTTAATAAAAATAAAAGAATTTTTTCCAAATGATTTAATTAGAATCAATATAATCTTCAAGATATAATTCAATAAATAGTTAAGTAAAAAGTCTTTTTCTTTTTACTTTGATTTTTTCTAGTTAGATCCATTTTGATATATTACAAAATTATTTTTTTAGTTACTTTGATTTTTTATTAATTTTAATTTAATTCATAAAGAATTCTTTATCTGGATCTGAATTAAATTAAATAATCACTTTAAAATTATTTTTTCATAGAGAAAATATCAAAAAGTTATTATCTTTTTGATATGAGTTATTATAAGAGGTAAGTATTAATTCTAATATATCAAAAGCATGTGATAAAAGTAATTATATACTTTATAACAATATTAGAAGAATTTTTTAAAGACTTATTAACAAGAATATAAATATTATTATATAAAAATTTGATAAGATTTATCTAAAAATAGGTAATAATAGTATTCTTTAGTATAACTAGCTAGAATATAATTAATTTCAAAGTATAATTTCAAGATAGATAATAATTAATTTATTAATAAGATGAAATAATAGATCTTAATTAAAAGCTATTCTACAAGAGATATTTCTTAGAATTTTTTTTAAACTAAAATTTACTTAAAGAACTAAACTTATAAAACTAAACTAAATTAAATAACTAACTAATTAAACTATATTAAATTACTTATTAACTATCTAATTTCACTAGCTAAGATATTACTTTTATATATTTTAGAGATTATATAAATAATATTTTTATTATGATACTTATACTAATTTTGTTATGATTTAAATATCACTTTAATTAATATCATAATATTAATTTTATTATGATAATTTAGTTTTGCTATGATAGTTTTGCTAACTTTGCTATGATAAATTTTGTCATGATCATCATGTTTAAAAAATCTTCTAAAAATATTTACAAATAATATTTTCTAAAGTTAATGTTCAATAAGATATAAGTAATTATTTATTTAATTATATTATGATATGAAGTGATCAATAATATATAACTAATTAATATTTTACTAAAAGTTCATATCACAATAATATGAAAACTTTGATTATTTTTAATATATATTCTTATTTACTTAATAATTAAAAAGATATTATTAAAAAGTTCAATAAGTATATTGAATCTATAATTTTTAGTTTAATTATTTTAGTTTTAGATATCTTTTTTCTATTATATTTTTGTGATCACATCTTTTAATATTTATTTTTCATTTTTGTCTTGTATTAATATAATATTCATAAGTATTAGCACTAGAAAATCTTTAAAATAATCATAATTTCTTTTATTTTTATAAATAATTTAATCTTAGTTCTCAAAACTTATTATAAATTATATTTCTAATAAAATCTATCTTTATAAATATAGTTTGTAATATTATATTATCATTTTTTCATTATTTTTTTAAAGAAATTATACTTTTAAATATCTTGATACTTTTCTCAGTATTAATATCATTCATAATATAACTTATATAATGACTATTATAAAACTAAATAATATTTATTAATATTCATGTAAAATTCAAGATTCCATACTATAGAGCTTTTCAGTAAGATCTTTAATGAATCTTTGAAACTTACCTTCAAATTCTTCTGCTTCACAAATAATATATGGATCAATAAGTTTTTTCTGTAATTATATACTTAGAATTTTCATGTCTTTAAAGATCATTTAAAATTGCTTGTTCTAAACTTGTGGGATTAGTAGAATTACTTCTGTCTTCTGTCAGAATGCTTAAGTGGTGTTTAAGAATGTGCAAACTGGTTGGTTCTTTTTTTTTGTACAGAAAATTTAGCAAAATTTTATATTCTTTGAACACTTTAAACTGTATAAAAAGTTCTATATCCGTTATATTACACAATTATAGTACAACCAATCATGCAAATGTCGAATGATCATTTGATGAATGAATAGACGCGACTCTGGTTTTTTTTGATACGATAATAAAGTTCCTTTATATCGGAATTAGAAATAGTATGTTTTCTTTTGCAATGTTTTTCAGAGATTTTATATGCGTATATTTTATAATAAAACATCATTAATATTTCATTACAGGCCACCATAGATTCATTTTCAAAGAAAAGGTAAAGGCAAAGCTAATGATATTGTTTTACTAGCTGCAATGAAAATGCCAGAAGCGCATTTATTTCATCTTCACTTGGGCTTTAGTACTTCATGTAAACCAGATCCACTTCGTTATTACGATATATCTAACTGTTTTATTTCTTTATCCACTAATACAGATCTGATTAAAGCTCTAGCTTGCGGTCAATGCAAAACACAACATTCTTGAGTGAAAGATTTTTGATATTCATAAATAGCTCACAAAGCTATTTTACTTTCAACTTTCACTTAATAATGCTTTAAATTACCAACCAGCGTAAATGGACGAAAGAGCCATTTTTGCACATTTCGACTCGATGCATTCTTCTTTGACCATGCATATCATAAAACATGTTATATTTCAAGTGTCTCGCATTCTTACAAGATGGATTGTCATCAATCGTCGCACAAGAAAATAATCAAAATTAGAACTACAAAAAATAGACGAATTGGAGAATAGATATTCAGTAAACTTCCCAGAGATTCTCAAATCCCTCTTGCGACGAGTTCCTAAATTGAGATGACTGCTATCACCTTCCGTGACCAACAACAAATGATCTTATCTTATTGGAACCGGGGCATACGCTCTGTCAATTCAGTAACAAAAAATACCAACGTCAACTATCTATTACAACCTAAAAAAGCTCGGAAAAACGGGAATAGTAACACAGTCAAAAGGGGAGGTAATTTCGCGAGAAATGTCACAAAAAATCAGGTGGCAAATCCAAAAAAATCCTTCTATATCAACAAGAAGTTTGGTGGCAGAATTAGGTGGAACAGTATTTCAACAGTCTGCTTTAAGATATTTGTGGGATCATGACTATAAAAATGATGTCCCAAAAGCTTTGCCAATGCTTACCTTGCAACATAAAGAGAAAAGGTGAAGTGGACCAAAAACACATGAACAACAATTGGAACAAACCTTTTTTTACAGATGAAACTGCATTCCAACTCTTCCATAACACAATTGGTCAGTGGCATAAGGGTCCAAGACTGGTTCGTCGAATTCCTAATGATAGGAGAAAAATTTGTGCGTGGGATGGGTTTTTGTAAATCGGGTAAAGCTAATTTATTTTGTTTTAGAAGAACAATGAATGCCGAATTTTATGTAGATATTTTAAAAAATAATATTGCAGATATTAATACTCTTCTGGAAAAAAGATGGAGATTTCAACAGGATAATGATCCAAACATACGAGCCATCTTGCAAAGTCTTACCTTGAATCGAAGTTATTGATTGGCCATCTTGTAGCCCGGTCTTAAATTCGATCGAAACCTATGGATTATAGTCAAAAGAAACGCAGAAAAAAGAAAACCAAAAAATTTGGACCAATTAGAATCATTTATGAAGGAGGAATGGAATTTAATTCCAAATGATACACTAGAGAGTTTAGTAAAATCAATGAAACGAAGACGTAGTAAAGGCGATACTATTGATTATTAAATTTTTTTTAACAAAACACATGGTTTTATCTTTCAAATAATGTATTTTTATTATAATTGGTTTGGTGATTGCGGAGTAATAATAAATTTATTTTTCCAAATAATTTTGAATCGCACTGTATTAGCCCTTATTGGAACGTTTACAGCGCTTTAATGAAGAAAATCAAGTTGAAGAACTCGATAACAATATTCCGTGTGATGATAATGAGGAAAACAAATCGGTGGCGCATACAATATCTACTTTGGATGAGGCATTAAAAAAATTCAAATTACAATAGATATAGCTTTATTTTTATGTTGAATTCTTGTTCATAATTAATAAGAAACATGTGAAATATCGCTTTATTAATAATTAATATCGTAAATTTAACGTAAAATACATATTTATCGTTATCGTTATTGATAATCAGTGTAATAGTTAGTAATTAATAAATTATTGTTATCAACTCCATCATAAAAGCTATTCAATATGTAAAGATTTTTATCAGTTAAGGTCCCATCAATTAACTTTTGGTAATCGTCAAAGTATTTCTTGAATTCATCATTTTTTTCGTTTAAGTTTTTGCAATTAACTTCCTTAATCGTTCTTTCTTGCTTGAGACCCGACAATCCCTGGTTAAGAATATTTATTGTTTCGGTTAATTTCTTGGTTCCAGCTCTAGTTTTTTGGACCCTGTCTAGATAAGACGTATTTATAATAAGAAAAATATATTGAAAATCAAATTGACATGATAAAAATAGCATACTTCTTATGACATCAATATCGATTTGGTTTTGATTGTAATTGCTATGAACGCTGTTGTTATTATCAACTTCGTTATAAGAAGGGCGATCACGTTCAGGCAATGTCGATGTCAATGTATGACCTTTCTTCAAAAGAATCGAAGCAATTGTAAGATCTTTGGCAGCATAAGCCTCTTCTGCACTTTTCTTGTAGTCTTTATAGCGTTCCTCGTTCATTCTCTTAGTTTCGAGTGAATTTTTGTATTCATTATCTATAATCTCTAATTCTTGTTTCTCCTTCGAAAATTCATCGCAAAGGCTTAATGCTATTCCTTTTAAGAGCCTGACTCGAGCTCTATTCGTTTTACCTAATATAATAAGAAAATATTGGAATATCAATTAAATTATTCACTTAATTGAACGTATGAAAATATACAAAGGAAAAACAGCATACATTGTTGGGCATTTTTAACCGATGATTTCATTATTGCAAAATTTAATTATTTTACAAATAAAATTGTTCTCTGATTATATCTTGTTGCGATTTATATCATGTTTTTTGTTGTTTTTTGTTGCTGTATGTCACCTCTGTGTCACTTTTTGTTGTTTGATTTTGTGTGATAAGATACGATACGAGACTAATGCAATATCTCTAATGCGTGTTAATCATTATCTTGTTGCGATTATATCATGTTTTTTGTTGTTTTTGTTGCTGTATGTCATCCCTGTTTCACTTTTTGTTGTTCGATTTTGTGTGATACGATACGATACTAATGCAATATCTCTAATGCATGTTCGTATCTGTTAATCATTGTCTCGACGATTGCTCTATTATATCTTGTTGCGATTCTATCATGTTTTTGTTGCTGTATGTCATCTCTGTGTCACTTTTTGTTGTTTGATTTTGTGTGATACGATACGATACTAATGCAATATCTCTAAATGCATGTTCGTATCTGTTAGTCATATTGTCTCGACGAATTGCATTTAGGAGGGTTGACTGTTATTTAGTAAATGGGATTTAAATATGGAATAAAAGATGGTAAGTTTACTGGTCAAGTTATTGCTTATGGTAAAATATCTGGGTTTTAAACTCGTCTTTTCTTCAGCTGGAGCAGTCAGTTAAAAACATCATTTACCGAGACTGTATAATTTACATCCTTTTTTACCAGCGCGAAGAATAATTATTGAACGTCACGTTTCGTGTATGCAGACTGTGATTGAACTGGGGACATTAAGACTATTGGGTTGAAGAATAATTAATATTTTTGCATTCTGATTCTCAATATCATTATAGCTTGTTTCAATTTGGACCACTGAATGCCTAGATATCGCATCCCAAAGTTACCGAATTCTTTAATTTTTTTTAATTTGCAGTAATTACTGTGGTAAACTGGACACACTAATCACAAACAACCGGTCTAGTTATTGAGCATTACTGTTTTACAAAAGATTTCCAGTAGCCAGATCGACGAGGACTCAACAACCGATATTATTGTAAAAACGTCGAAACTGCCATTAATCTCGCACGTGAACCAAAATTGACTTGACGATGGTAAAAGCGAAATTATCATTGAGAAAAATGAGGTAAATATTATCAATAAGTCTCCCTAAAATGGCTTTATAAAGCACAGCAAATTTTAAAAAAAAACTACTGTGATCACATAAAAGGCAGCCTTTATGACAAAATTTATTCTTAGATGAATCGTCATTTATTCTTATAAAAGATTGGTGAAAGGATAGAGCGTCATACCTCGTTAAGCCAAATCATTAATTAAAATCTTGATAAAGCGAACAGTTATAGTAAATATCTATCGATAAACCGAATACTTCAAGATTTTTTTTACAGTTAGATTTAATGGGGTTAACATGTATATATATACCCTAATACAATGTGACCTCTTATTATAAGAACCAAAAAATTTTTTTGAACCAATTTATAATAGTCTATGAAATTCCCTTTAAAACATTAGTATTTGTTGTCGTCATTGTTATTACTGTGATTGTGGTCGATTTCATTGGTGTTAATTATTGTTGTAGTAATCGCCATTATAGTTATAAATGAAACTGCTAAGGTCAACGTTACTCAAATTGTTTAAATCAACAAGTGTGTTATTGTGGATTTGACTTTGATTGTAATTATTGTTGTTGTCTTCAATGAATAAATCAACGTTGTTACTCGAACTATTGAAATCAACAGCAGTGAGATTGTAATTTTCTAGCAAGTCCCGAAATAATAAGATCTTTCAAATATAATGTTTCTTCTACTCTTTTTTTATAAGCCTCAAGGTGTTGCTCGATCTGCTCCTTACTTTTTTTACAATCTTCAAGGCGTTGTTCAAGTTGCTCCTTAAGCTCGAGCAAATTTTTATTATCATTTTTCGTAATCTCTAGTTGTTGTTTGACATTTGACAATTCACTGTTTAATCCCTTGACTCGATTTCTTTTGTTTTCGGCTAATATAATAAGAAAATATTAGAATGATCGAATTATAAATTATAAATTGAATTGAAATAAAAATAAACAGCATACTTGCTTTGGCAGCATCTGTGCCAGACAATGGTTTTCTATTTTTAACATTACTCGATGATGATGCCATAATATATAATTTTTTAAATGAAATGAAAAAAAAATTTTACGAAGAAATATTCTTAATGAAAAGATCGAATAGAGCGCTTCTTTTTATTCCTTAGCCATGTCGTTTTTTTTCGTTTTTTATCGTTTTGTGAGATGCGATACAGATCCAGAACGAATATACACGGAACGCCCGGGTCACCATGATATAAAAACTCTGATTTATCCGATAGTTACTGTGTGACGTGAATCCCCGTGATTATAAAATTCCCGTTATCAGGCCAGAACTATCATTATATAAAACATGGAAAATACAAACCACCAATTCCGTTATAAATGCTGCGTTAGCAAAACAAACATAAACTTTTAAGAGTGACATTCTATTATTAGAGAAGACACTTGTCATTTTGACAAATGAAAATTTTGTATTTATAGAAAGTTTTTCATAAAAAGAAAAAGTAAACTTTTGCGAAATTAACGGCACCCGGCTTATATTTATTAAAAGAAGAAAAATGAGTTCAGCGAAACTAGCGGCGTCCGACTTGTAAAATTCTTGTTAAAATTAACAATAACCGACTTATATTTATTGAAAAGAAAAAGAAATCAGTCACTAATAAATAAATCTGTACCTCCATAAATGCCAGGACGATGAAATTCTGCCGGGTTGTTTGCAGAAATTATCACGTTGTGTCAAAGAACTTGTATCACTTGGGCGAGATGTCCTGCACCAACTAATCGATATAATGATAACGATAATCACGTTATTTATCGAGGAATCGAGACATGTTTACACTTTAAAAATACAAGATAATTAACCAGTTACACGTCAGAAAAAAGACTCTCACCAGGTACAGATGAAGTTGTTCAATATAGGAAATTTCTAGAAGATGGAATTGACATAATGTTAAGTTTAATACTGGTCAAGTTCGCTTTTTTTTTTGCTGGAGCAATTAAAGACATCATTTGCCGAGACTATGTATCAAAATTTGCCGGGCACCCAAAGTGCGATCGATACACTTTGAAGAATGATTTAACATTATGACTGATGTGTCGAACGCCATCATCCGTTAGGATATTTATATCCCTCAAATCACCGTGCACAAATCCAGCATCATGTGTCGATATTTTGATACCAACAGTAAATAAAGATGTGCTGATTCTGTTTGATGTGGGAGTAAGGTGCGCTTAATTGGACGCAATGATTAAGAGGAGGAGTTTTACGAATTTTATAGTCTGGTTCTATTTACAACCAACCAACCGATCCGTTTATTGTGTATTATTGTCTTACAAAAGACCGATCGACGAGCCTTAGACGCAACATAAACATTAAACTGCCATTAGTCTCGTATATATAAACCAAAAATTGACTTAATAAAGGTAAAAGAGAAATTATAAGCGGAAAAATAAGCGGTAAAATATTATGAATAACTCTACATAATCATATGATATAAAAGTTCTATAATCACACCTGTGCTTGAAACCTATTTATTCTTACAAAAAAACTACTGGTCCCCGATATAGGGACAGCTTTATAATAAAATTTTTTCTACTTAAATGAATTATTCTTATTATTCTTACACTTTATAAAAGATTGTTATAGGATAAATACCCTCTACAAGTCAACCTCGTTAAACCGGATCACAAATTTTAAATATCGATAAATCGAACTTGGGTCCATGAATAGTTATCTCGATAAACCGAATTTTTCAAAACGCACACTCTAACTCAATCCCATAGTATATAGCCTCTAATTATTTAAATATTTACTTTATAAATACACACTACATCCTAAGTGTTGATATGATTTCTAGGGAACAATTTTTTAGAACCAATTTATAATACAGTATGTGAAATTTCCCTTAGTATTTATTATTGTCTTTAGTATTGTGATCGTGGTCAATTTCGTTGATGTTAATGATTGTTGTTGTAATCGTCTTTATGGTTATTAATGAAACTGCTGAGATCAACGTTGTTACTCAAATTATTGTGAATTGGATTTTGACTTTGATTGTAATTATTGTTGTTTTCTATGGCAAAGATTTGGTTTAACGTGTTGAGATCAACGTGGCTACTCAAATTATTAAAATCGAAAACAGTGTTATTGTGGAATTGACTTTGATTATAATTATTACTGTTATCGTTATCTTCAATTGCAAAAACTGGGTTTGGCCCAAAATTAATGCCATTTCTATTGCTTCTAACAAGTACCGAAATCATGAGATCTTTTAAATATTCTATCATTTTTTTGTAATCTTCAATTCGTTGCTCGAGCTGCGCTTTAAGTTCAAACCAATTTTTTTCATCATTCTTCTTATTCTCTAATTGTTGTTTGACATTTGACAATTCAATGTTAAGATTTAATCTAATTTCTTCTAATCGCTTGATTCCATTTCTTTGGTTTCTAGCTAATATAAGAAAATATTAGAATTATCGAATAAAGTATAAATTGAATTGAAATAAAAACAAACAGCATACCTGCTTTGGCAGCGTCTGTGCTAGACTCTCTATTGTTAACATTATTGTTATTGTAATCGTCTTTATGGTTATTAATGAAACCGCTGAGATCAATGTTGTTACTCAAATTATTGTGGATTGGATTTTGACTTTGATTGTAATTATTGTTGTTTTCTATGGCAAAAATTTGGTTTAACGTGTTGAGATCAACGTGGCTACTCAAATTATTAAAATCGAAAACAGTGTTATTGTGGAATTGACTTTGATTATAATTATTACTGTTATCGTTATCTTCAATTGCAAAAACTGGGTTTGGCCCAAAATTAATGCCATTTCTATTGCTTCTAACAAGTACCGAAATCATGAGATCTTTTAAATATTCTATCATTTTTTTGTAATCTTCAATTCGTTGCTCGAGCTGCGCTTTAAGTTCAAACCAATTTTTTTCATCATTCTTCTTATTCTCTAATTGTTGTTTGACATTTGACAATTCAATGTTAAGATTTAATCTAATTTCTTCTAATCGCTTGATTCCATTTCTTTGGTTTCTAGCTAATATAAGAAAATATTAGAATTATCGAATAAAGTATAAATTGAATTGAAATAAAAACAAACAGCATACCTGCTTTGGCAGCATCTGTGCTGGACTTTCTATTGTTAACATTATTTGATGATGATGCCATAATAAGATTTTTTATATGAAAAGGAATTTGTAAAGTTTTTTACGAAGTAATATTTTTAATGAAAAGATTCGATAAAACGCTTCTTTTATTCTTTGGTCGTATTATGTTTTGTGATTTTCTGTTGTTTTTTTTCGTTTTTTATCGATTTTTATCATTTTGTGCGATGCGATACAGCATGATTTGTATCCAGAACGAATATATACCGTTAGGTCCCATTCCATGTATAAAAAACCTGTTTATAAACCGGATTTATAAAATTTCGAACTCTGATTTATCCGATAATTACTGTGTGACGTGAAATTCCCGTGATTATAAAGTTGACGAACTCTGATAGTTACTGTGTGACGTGAAATTCTCGTGATTATAAAATTCCGTTTATCAACTTAATTAAGGACAGAACTATCATTATATAAATCATGGAAAATACAAACCTCCAATTCTGTTATAAATTCTGCTTTAGCAAGAAATTCTGTTATAAATTCTGTGTTAGCAAGAACAAACATAAAACTTTTAAGAATGACATTCTATTAGAAATGAGACTCGTCATTTTGACAAATAAAAATTTTGCAAACTTAACTTGTATTATAGAAGAAACTTAGAACAGAACATGGCTCCTCATAAAAGGAAGGAAAAGAAACTAACGAAACCAACGGGTCCACCTTGTATTTATTAAAAAAAAAACTTTTGCGAAATTAGCGGCGCCTGACTTGTATCTATTAAAAAGAAAAAACTTTTGCTAAATTAGCAACACCTAACTTGTATTTATTAAAAAGAAGAAAAAGAGACTTTGCAAAATTAGCGACACCCCAACTTTATTTATTAAAAAAAGAAAAAGAAGCTTTTTTGCAAAAAGTTGGCCAAAACCTCTTCTTATCAAATAAGGAAAAATAAAAAAAATATGCGCCGTATGTTGTACTATTACAATACCCAAGCTAACCGAATAAAAAAAGAAAAAAGCAAATAAGGAGCAAATAAGGAAACATAAAAAAATATGCGCCATATGTTGTACTATTACAATACCCAAGCTAACCGAATAAAAAAAGAAAA